TACTGTGATTTTGATTTTTATTTGCCACACATAAGGTAAATCTATACATTAATATGGAATTAATTGTGAAGGAAACTCAAAATCATTATACAGTATTTTAAATCCTAGGGGTAGCCTCCGGCGGATCGCTCTCCAGATTTCATATTGATGTTATACTGCGCATAATCCTGCGCATAAATCCTGTTAGTGTCCCGACTCCGGTTCACACTGTTCCCGCAACATGTACGCGGCAAATCTACCGGCAAAGATCAGCCGGTCGTGTGGTTAGATGATGATGATGTTTTGGCCGAAATAATAACGTCATTCACTTGCCGGCTGCGAAACCTCAGATGCAAAAATTCCGATACACCGTCCATAGTTATCGTTGGCGGAGATTAAAGGCAAAACGAAAAGAAATCTTTCCCCAAAAATCCACTTCCACAGCGATAATAGTAGTCCTTCCTGGTATTGTACTGATAATTGTCATTCTTGCGATATCCTGAAGCAACACACACCGCCGGAATGTGGTGTTGCAGTCACACAGAGAGAGGCCCTCTGCAGGTAATCCCCTCCAGCCACTTCGGCCTGCAGTTCTTTGGACATCGCAACATCACCACGGTCCACTGGTTAGTCTCGGCGTTGTCCGCCTCAAAAAACGTCAGCGCCCGGTCCCGCTCGCTGTCTCCTTCAACGTGGGTCGTTCCGCCGTACACCCAAATCTGTCCGTCCTTAACGAAGACGCAGTGATGATAGCGCGTCACGTTCAGATCTGCCATGAGCTCCGGTTGCGACTGGGCGCGGCTCCGCGAAGCGCGGTAGCAGGCCGTGTTCCCGTTGCCAGCGCTGTCCAAATGAAACAACGGATCCGCGTAGACGCAGCCGCCCATGAAGCAGATAACCATGGAAGGCGATTACACCGCAGCGACGATGCAATTTCCTTTTAGTGAAAACGAACAAAGCTGCTTACTTGTATATCTTGCCTTTTTATTGCAGTATCTCAATGGAAGCGTACGCGCTTTTCAACGACAGAATCTGCTTCCTGTCGGTTGATTCCGTTGACGAGCAGACCGCTAGCAATCCGGCGGTTTGGGTGGAATTCTACGGCATACCTGTTACCTAGAAACACGTGAACGAAGCACACCAGTTGGCAGGATCCGTCGCAATGCCAGCATCACAGCGGGATTATCGTCTTCCAAGAAGGTTATCTGTATTTCACGGGCGGTTGCGTGCCCGGTTGGTTACTACCTAACCTTTGTCGTCCGGAAACCGCGATTCAACGCAACGGCCGCATGTTACCGCGTCTCTCTGAGCCACGCCCAGTCCCAACCGGAGCGTACCGCCGATCTAGGTAAACCTGGCGCGCTATCATCACTGCGCCTTCATAAAGAACGACCAGATTTGGGTGTACGACGGAACAACCCATATTGTAGCGAAGAAAAGTCATTAGCTGTCACGCTCCGCGTACGCAATGGAATCCTTACCGCAGCAGCTTGACATTGCATTCACTCGGAATGCACTACGTGACATCTGTAGAAATTTCAATATAACATTCGCTTTAAAAAACACCAAAGCCAGAATGATAAGCGCGCTTTCCGCTTATATGTATGTACACCAAATTACTGTGGATCAGCTCCACCGCTCCCAGTCTCCAGCTGCCGATGAGTTAGACGCGCCGGCTGAGCACACTGTGCACAGCAACGCCGCACCGACCACACGTTTTTTACAGTCAGAGAGACAGTCTACCCGAGCAGACCTCTGCAGCGCGTACTGAAGGCGCACAATGCAGTTCTCCAGCGCTCATTGCAGCAGGGCGCACACATGCCCGCACACAAGCTGCAGAGCCGGCAGCGCGCAATGCTTCCGTACAATCAGCAAACAGTGAAATTCAACGCACGAGTCGTTATGTAAGCACTACTATCGACTCTGCTACAGACAATGACAGCGAGTACCATCATCGTGCTGCCCACGATTATTATCGTAAATCGGATGACCGCCTGTCAGATAATGCGCACCGGAATAGTTCTTACCGTGAATATTACAGTAGTTTCAGTGACTCAGATGGTGCCCGGTCACCCAGTTTACACCGCTTTCGCTCACGGCACCGTTCATACTCTCCTGACAGCAATTGTGGCGACGGAAAGTTTAGTACACATTTCCGGGAACGCCGTCGTTACCCGCCCAAAAGTGTTCGTTGTTACGAATGTTATCGCAAGCCGCACCGCCGATACTCGCCTGCCCGTGACCATACAAAATACTACAATCGCAAAAATTGTAACGCGGACAAGATGATACATCCGAGGTATATTGACTTTGACAGCTACAGATTAGACAACGGCACACTGTTTTGTCCAAAGTGTCTTGATATTTTCCACTCGTACGGAGAATGCACAAATTACAGTCGCGATGACAAATGCACTATACCGCGTCTATGCCCAAATGACATTAAAGCTTTTCAAGCAGAATACGATGACTACATAGCCTACATGCTAGAGCGAAAAGGAATGTCGTTCTTGCTTAGCAGTCAATGGAAAAGAATGGGTAGCTACAGGAAAGGCGGACCGTTTGGCTATAACTATGTACTTCCCATATTCTACACCCTCTCTGAAATTAACTTGTACTGTAGTCGCGCAGATGACCCAGCAACTCGATGCAGGGAAATATTAACTGAACAACGAGAAGAAATGCACACACCAGATATTTTAAGACCACGCACACCCTACATTAAAACTGCAGGCACTGCAAAATTAAATAATACAGTCTCGAATGCGGCAACTTCAAAGGAAACAGCGAATACGATTCCGCAAAAACTCGAGTTATGTGAAACATTACTGAATGAAATTTCCGATGATCTGACAGCACCGGCATCACCGTCTATTGCTGAGAAGGAGCACCCATCTCAGCCCGTTAACCTTTCCGAATTGCAGAAAGTACCGACAATTAATCATTCCCCTACACAGCTATTGAAAGGTAAATTAAATGAAATGATTTCTATCGTATAAAGTATTCGTCAATCTTCTTTCTACCAGATGTTAACGAGACGTGCGCACCACATCATTTCCCAAATGCAGATGCACCGGCACTGTACGAAAGCTCCGCTACTTCGTTAAAAACGCCTTCGTCAGTGGCTGTACAGCACGCAGTTCTCGAAATTCCCAGTACATTACCGCCCACTTCCGCTGAACTCGAACTGATGGCCAATTCTATTGATGCCGCATTGGAGTATATTCGCACTTCTCCATTCTATCAGACGTTGTTCACCAGCCCGCAGTTGCTCAACATACCTACAGGTACATTAGCATTTCGCGACTCTGACCCTCCATCCCCACGACGCCGGACGAACGCGGAAAATTTTCGGATACCGTGAGGGATACCTAACTACAAGGAAACGGACGTTTACCGGATGCCTTAGTCAACCGTGAGGGAACCAAATCAGCGTATCCGCGAGTTGGAGAACAAACTGGATTACTACAAAAGTCTCCATTGACCGGACCAGCCGATGCCATCATCACCTTTAACAGTACACATCGTACCGTGGCGCCGCACCAGTCCCTTCCTTCCCCTCCGGACACGCCATGCAAGCACAACCAGTATTTAACCGCATTTAACCTTTTTCATTTCTTTCTTAATTTTTTTTCCTTTTGTATTGTCTTGATGAGACAGGTATATCTCATCGCTACCGTGAGGGATGTAGCGATAGAAGTTGTACAACCATAAGATCACCCAGTTATGATTCATCTTTGCGTTATGAATTTCTGTCCATTTTACCGGCTAGCTGTTCTTCCTCACAATTTCTAGAATTCATTCTTGCCTTCGCTTGTTATAGCTTGCATCAGCTTGATCTGCTTGTTCTGCTTGTTAAACTCTTGCCTAAACCTTGTTCCTTGTCTGGCACTGTTCTTGTCATTAAACATGCCGTGAACTTCCGTTGTTACGTTTGTTACGTCGTTAAGTCAGTAAGAGCGTCCCCGACCACACCGTTGCCGGTCGTGCCAACCTTTCATCCCAACAGCCCACACAACATCGTGGTACGGTCAACACGCCAACCCACTAGAACAGCAGCCAGATCGGCTACTGTTACAATATTGCCGGGAAAAATAGCATTACTGTACAAACACAGTACGTAAGACTTAGTATTACAAAGGACTAGCGGAGTGCCGGCTTCTCTGTGTATCATTGTTTTGATTTTGACACGCGGACTTTTCCAGTAGTCGACAACCAGCTGAGCTACGCGTTAAATTCCTGCCAAATTAAACCGTAAACAAGAAATGTGTACGAACACACATGTGTACGAACACACATGTGTGTATGTACTTGCACATTACTGAAATTAGGCGATATGATCCGATAACGAATTTATAGAAACAGGACTTCGGCAGCAGCGGCAGGGAGGGTCACAGCATGCTTGCATAAGTTACTTCGGCGCTCGATAAGGTTTTCAATCAATCCGTACCAGACTGAACTAACCACAGAGTGGCAAAATCCTCGCATTCCGTACCATGCCGGAAGCTAATGGTAAATTCTTGTACCCTGAAAATTAACGTAGGGAACACTATGTTACCTACCTATTTGCATCTTTATATTGAAAAAGGATAAATTAATATACGTGTTCCCTAACTGGACGACATAATAGTCCCTTCGTGCTTCAGTGTCTCCTTTACTCAAATAAATGGAGATTACTCTAAACCGGCATTGTGCCTGCGCAGATAATAGTGAGCCAATAGCAGCCACCTTTTAATCCGGTTGCGCAACCGGCTATACGGTGTCAGTCGGTAATCGGTATGTCAAAAATTCTTGCTTGTTCTCGTAGACTTGTACTGCCTACGAACACGTACTGTACCGCTTTCCGCGGATCCTCAATGGATATCAATGGATACTGGATAGTACAGCAATTACTAGTACCATTAATTTTACAACAGGGTACGCACATTCAGTGAATACAAACTAGTGCGGATTGATGCGTTTATGTTGGTGGTTGAGCTAACTCACCCGTCAGCCACGTCTCCAGTTGCGAACTAACCAGTCTTCCGACTACTTCACTTTTTACTTTTCACGCTCTGATCTACAGTACTTTACCTAACCTCATGGTAACGGTGTGCATTTTGCCAACATATTCCCTGATTTCTCCATCATGGCCAAGTCTCGTGCGCGCCCCAAAAAGTCAAAACGCGCGCGTCAGCAACAGCAGAAGCCAACGACTATGCAGCTGCGAATTGGTAACGCGACATTATCCGTCAACAAAGATGCACTGATCCGGGGATCCCCGTACTTCGCTGCCATGTTGGACGGGAATTTTCAGGAGAGCGGCGCCGCCACTATCGAGCTGCAGCAGCCCGAGAACGTCCATCTTGAAACGCTGGTTAAATTGGTGGAGCACCTGAGCCGTGGAGACTCCAAGACCAAGTTGTCAGTTGAACGCAAGGACGCCGTCAAAGTGTGGATGGCCGCCAAATACCTGCAGATGGATGAAGCCGTGGAAATGGCCGGGGATATCTTGCGCGAGATAATGCAGCGATCGGGGAACCTGTACCGCCTGTGGCGTCTGGCTCGTCGGGACGGACTGATGGATTTGGAGAGACTGACCTTCAGGGAGATTGTTCAGCACCATCCACGCCGCACCTTTTTTACCGATTCTGATGAGTTTCTGAAGTGCAGTGCCGAAGAGATCAAGGACTTGCTGACTGATGAGGAGTTTGTGCCAGAATCAGAAGCAGCTGTGTATCAGGTTAGCGTGCTCCATGGAGCAGAATTATCTTCTTAACGGCCAGATTTCTAAATAATAATTTTCGTTTATATAAATATTATTACGTTTTGATAAAAGATCAAATTTAAAAAGAATATACCTAATTACGAGTCAGAACAACAAATTTTGATATATTCAACTCACCTTCAAATATCTTTATGTGTGTAATTTTCTAATCTTGCAGTATCTGATTGGGGGAAAGTATCGTTTCAGTTAAAACTGCTAAACTGTATTGTGTATACTCATTCAACATTCGCAGGCTGTGTTGCGTTGGTGCATGCACGGCGCCAAGGGACGCAAACTGCACCAGCATGAGCTGCTGGATGAGTGCGTAGTCTGGGATCATCTGGACATAGAGTCTCTGAGAGCCTCCTCCTCGGGGCCTTTGAATAAAGCGTTAACCCAGATTCTCGACGATCGACGCCACGGTCTGATGGGCAGTGAAGCGTTGCCGAAGCGGGCCATTCCGAAAGAAGCCATCTTCTACCATATGCGCGAAGGCCATCCGCACCAGCTCCTCCGCTTAGACTTCATCCGCAACGAACTGAACAAACTGGATTCACCACTGCAGACGACGCTGGCCGAATGCGGGTCCAAGCTCAAAGCGGACGGTTTTGCGGTGGCCGTGGGACGGGAGCTGATCGTCGCTACTGGAGATTACTGTGAGAAAGAAGTGATCGCGATGGACTGTATCACCGGCAGCACACGCCCTCTCGTGGTGAATTCGCCGTTTCGTGCGAACTTGTGCGTGGCGACGGTGGGAGACCGGCTGTACCGTGCTTGTGGAGCTAGTGGATACGGCGAAAATTGGTACTGCCACGATATGCCCACGGGAAAAGTGCGTCGGGTCCTGCAGATCCCGTATTACACGTATGAGAAGCATGCATTTGCCTTACGGTATAATCGGTGAGTTTGTTCCTCAATCTTGGTGCCTTCTTTCTATTTCGATATTTGTTCAGCAAAACCAAGTTAAAATTACCATTAACCGGATATTTAGTGGAGTTTTTTTGCTGTCTCAGTTCGCTTTGAGCATAATAATATGTACAGATCGCATGATATCAAAACCAATATGAGTGACTTCATGACCGCTTATTGTGGATCGGGCGATTTACCTTTGCATTTTTAGTTCATCTTTTTCGAGTTTACCTTTAGCACCGTCAAATTGTGCCTGCTGTCGTAATCGGTGTCGCATTCTTTGTGCAGGAAATAAGAATTGTCCTGTTCTAATTATTTCGTAATCGCATCTCATTGGACATATTTTTCGTAGTCATGCGATGCAGGCCTACGCGCTCCCCAACGGCCGAATCTGGTTCCTGTCGGTTGGATCCGTGGACGAGAAGCACGATAACCACCCACAGAGTTGCGTGGAATCCTACGACATCCACAGCAACACGTGGAAGAAGCATGCCAGCTGGACAGATAAAGACTTATTCCATCATGACAGTGGGATCATCGTCTTGCAAGGCTACCTGTACTTCACGGGCGGCTGCGTGTACGACGATCCCCTGGAGTACCTGGACAGCTATCCCAACGTGACCACCGCTTGCTACCGCATCTCGTTGGTCCACGGGTATTGGCCGGAGCGTATTGGGGATCTGAACGTGGCGCGCTACAATCACTGCGTCTTCGTCAAGGACGGAAAGATTTGGGTGTACGGCGGAACGACCCACATCGATGGGGATAATCAGCGGAAACGGGCGCTGACGTCCTTTGAAGCGTACGATGCTGAGACTAACCAGTGGACCGTGATGGAGGTGCCGATGTCGAAGGAACTGCAGGATGAAGTGGCGGGAGGGGATTACGCGCAGAAGACCTTCTGTCTGCCGCTGCAACACCGTCTTCCGCCGGTGTACGATGGGAAGGAATTTAACGATCGTGATGACAATTATGAGTACGTTCTGGAGGAAAATCGTAGCATCGCAGCGGCATATGGAATGGGAGACGATTCGGAGAACGACAGTGATAGCGAGTGGCCCGCTGGTTTGGATGACTGATCATGTACGGCGTGCCTGTAAATGCTGGGTTTTGCGATGCTGGGAATGCTTTTCGCCTTTAGCACTGCTTTAAGGCGTGATTTATTTGTATTTGCTTGTGATGTTTTTGCGTGCCTGCTTATTTGAATACCTGCATCTGACGCGAGGTTTTTTCTGTATTTAAATTCGAAATGGCTACGCGCTATGAGTTTTGGCTACGCGCGAGAGTTTTCGGCCCGAACAAAATAAAAATTGTAAAATGTTTAATACTTTTTAGTTTATAATATTTGTCATGTCATGACAACCTGTAAATGCTGTAAAAGTCACCTTTGTACATGAAAGTAAGTATCATAAAGTAAGTAAGTATCATAATATCGAACCGGCATCTCGCACATTGCGGTGACCGGCGTTTCTGTAATAATTAGCCACACAATGACACAAGTAATTAAGATCGGCGACAAATTCGAATCCTACGCTGCGGCTTTGCGCGCAATCGAGGAACGGAGTGAGTCAACGCATCAAGTCTTTATAAATCCCGGTGGAAATGAAAAGACTTCAAAAACGCACCCACTGCACGTCACTTTGACGTACAGTTCTGTGAAACTGGTATGCAAGAAAGCCGGCGTCTATCATCCCCATCGGCGAGGCTCACTTCCGACGAAAAAAACTATCACCACCACTCTAAAGAGCGACTGTCAAGCAGCTACCCGCCTGAAGCTGGTGAACGGGATGTTGGAAGTCATCCACGTGCCGGCTGCAGACGATCACAACCATGAGGTGTCGCAGGCGCTAGCACAGCACTTCCCTGAAAGGAGACGACTGTCCGACACGGAGGAGAAGACCGTGGAGCAGCTGATTCTCAGTGGAGTGCCACCGAGAATTATTGCGGGCACGGTTACTGCTTCACGTCGCGCAAACGGGGCAGCCGGAACTGTTATCACGAAAGACATATTCAACCGGGGAACGAAGATACGTATGGATAAGAGGCAAGGGCGGGAGGAGCACGAAATTCTCACGGAAGTTTTGCGGGAACACAGGCAGAAAGATGCAACCGGCACTTACGATGCAGTTGTGGCACTTACGATGTCTCGCGCGTAGACATGACGATTTAAATTATCTTTTTGTAGCTTTGCTTGAAGTGTTAAGTATCTGCGAATTGTACGTTTTAATTGATGATTCACTAATTTAAACATTGTACCATATTGTTTTCTGTACAATAAACTAATTCCATTTTGATTATCGCACCACCTGTTGCTGATGCACTTTTCGAAGAGGGCAGGGAATATTATTCCATATTATTATATAATTATGGAATAATATTTCCGTAATCTGTCACGCTTACAATGAGCAAAGTATTTATTCTTACTATATATTCTTATTATATATTCTTCATTATATAATATATTCTTTTAACATAATGTATATATTATTATATTGTTCCATATTATTATATATGGCATAATATTTCCATTCTTTGCCACGCTTACAATGAGCAAACTGTAAATTATTTATTCGTAACTTCCAAAAGTCCAATCGGAATAATGCGAAGAGTAATAAAAATTTTTTTTATAAGTGCCTCTCCATGATTGCAGACGATATTGCGCTGGCACATGCACGATGCCACCGAAAGTCTGCATCGTCTGCTGGGTGGAAGCATCGCGTGGAATCAGTTGAGCATCGACCCATTGCTCACCACCGCTACAGGCCCAATGCATGCAGCGCTAACCGAAATTCGCGACGAGCGAAACCGCGGTCTCCTGGGTAAGGGAGCGTTGCTGAGTCGCGTCATGCCGAAAGATGCCATCTTCTACCACATGCGCCAACGCCATCCACATCAGCTCCTCCGCTTCGACTTCACCCGCAACGAATTGACCAAGCTGGATTCACCACTCCAGGCGACGCTGGCGAAACGTTGTTCGACGATCTTACCCGACGCTTTTGCGGTGGCCGTCGGGCGGGAACTGATTGTCGATCCTGTTGTTCCTTTCGGTAAGATTGAAGTAATCGCGATGGACGGCGTCACGGGGAGTGTGCGCACTCTCCTTGTGAACCCGCCGTTTAGCGGATGCCTGTGTGTGGTGGCAGTTGGGAACCAGTTGTACCGTGCTTGCAAAGCAAAGATGGGTAATGGCGAAGTGTGGTACTGCTTCGGTTTGACCACGGGACAACTGTAGCAGGTCGGGCACATCCCGGATTACCAGTCTGAGGAGAACCCACTGCGCCGATATAATCGGTGAGTTTCTGTCTGATGTCGCATGTGCACTCTAGGTAACGAGCAATGAATAATAACTTATGGTTAGAATTACTTTGCAGTTCGATTTAGCGTGGTCTACATCCGCGTACACGCGTCCGCGTGGTGGTTTCGCGTACATCCGCTGCGCGTGAAATATTCGTGATCTGGAAGGTCATACGCATCTTATCAAAAAAGTGGTTTTCTAAATCTATGTAACGTACTTTTGAAATATACACAAGCAACGCACACTACCAGATTTAGTTCTCAAAGCACCTGCAACTGCGTGAAGCGCCAGTACGATTATAGGCAGCGTATCATTAACAACGATGTAATATTAATATTGCATAGTATGCAAATAATACAGAAATGTAATATGAAAACGTAATACTGAACAATATATTTTTCAGTAGTGTACTAGACAGCTTATATATTGTGAAGGAACAGATTTTCGGTATAAGAAAAGCGTGTTCGAGAATTCTGTTCGAGGGTAAGGAAAATGGTATTGTGCACCATCTTTAAACGAATTGCAGTGGTGTCTGGTTGTAGCAGTGAAAGTACTGAATCTAACAAATAATAAGTAAATAACATCTAAAATAACAGCTGCTTGATAAATAAGCGTGCTGCTGTTGCAGCTTGTAAATAATGACTGCTTTAAATCGAATTGTATCTTGCTTACATTGTACACAAATTCGGCGTCGATTCTTGGTGAGTTAAGATATCCTAATTTCGGTGATATTTACAAATTACAATGTACGTAATCATACCTTATTGTACTGCTTTCCCAAAGTTTCGCCATGGTGGCGTACGCGCTTGCGAACGGCCGGATCTGGTTCCTGTCATTTGGTTCCGTGGATGAGAAGCCCGAAGTCATCCGGAGAGCTGGGTGGAATTCTACGATATCCACAATAACACATGGGCGAAGCACACCAGCTGGACGAATCCAACAAAATTTCATTATCGCTGCGGATTGATTGTGTTTCAAGGATATTTTCTTTACTTTACGGGCGGCTGTGTCTATGCGGATCCTTTCTGATATAACCAGAGCGATGGCAACAAGACAGCCGCCTGCTACCGCGTCTCGCTGAGCCACGCCCAGTCCCAACCGGAGCTCATCGGGGATCTGAACGTGGCGCGTTACCATCACTGTGTGTATGTTAAGGACGGTCAGATTTGGGTGTACGACAGAATGATCCAAGACTGCTTCGAGAGTCAACGAAAGCTGACTCTGTCGTCCTTTGAAGCGTACAATGCCGAGACTAACCAGTGGAATGTGATGGAGGTGCCGGTGTCGAAGGAACTGCAGACGGAAGTGACTGGAATGATTAACGCGCAGAAGACCGTCTGTTTGTCCCTGCAGCACACGGTTCCGGTGGTTTGTAATGGGGACCATTATCATTTTAAGTTTTTAACAACAATTATCACTGCAACGGCAAAGGATATCATTACCGGATGACGGACAAGAATGAACGGGAAAATGGCTTTTGGAGGATGACCCGGAGTCCGAGTGGCCCACTGGTTTGGATGACTGATGGAGTGTTGAGTGTACAGTACTTGTAAATGGTTGATTACATTGGTTGTCTGCCTCTAGGGTTTCTTATTAATTTGCGGCTCTGTGCAATTTGCCTTGTTTAATAATTCCTGAAACGAAACCTGTTTTAATTGAGAATTGGATTAGTTTTATGTCCGATTGTGAAGGGAGGGTTATATCCTATCCTCTAAATTAATTTTGGGTTATCCTCACTGGACTTCAAAATGATTTTTACAGATTTCCATTCATAAGCATAGCTTTGGGTGGAAACATCTTTATGAAGTCCATTGTATATTTATGAGTTTACGCCTTACGGGAATGCGTGTTTTAATGCTCCTACACAAGTAATTCGAGCATTGTGTACTTACATGTTAGTGTTTTTGATGTGCAACAAGCATTGGTAGGCTGCTATCGTACCATTAAATCCTTGTGACCGAGATTTTCGCCAACTTTATCAAAAATGATTTGTTGGTCATGAAAAACAACACCGGACCTCTGCATCACATAAATTTTTATTGTTTTTTTATATTTATTTTTCGCTGCAGCCTTATGAAACGGCATATAATTTTTATTAACATAATGTACTCATACGGTCGCCAGTGACTCGCCACTCTCATAAAAATTTATCAGCCGTTGCAAGTCGCTGCTGTGATGAGTGTACATAAGTAAATGCATCAACCGATCCGTGTCAAACCAGCAATCGAACTATAACAGCCATCACTCAGACATAATACTCTTTATCCTTGTTCCTCCCAAGCGTCCCATTCCCGCCGGCCTGCACCGGCCGCGCATGACCATTGCGCTGCATCGTCCCGGCCGGACTGGGCTCCGGCTTACTGAAGGTCTGGTAGGTTTTGGCGCCATCCGCCGCCGCGGCCGTCGTCACCGGGCGTCCGTTCTTTCGGTAGCGCACCGCCAGGAAGACAATCAGTGCCACCAGGATGACCACGCCCACCGCGATCCCGGCAATCAGCGCCGCGTTCTCCCGGAAGATGTCCAGCGGGTTGCCCGGCGGGGCGGTGGTGGTGGAGAGGACCGGGGCCGGCGGGAACGTGGGATAGGTGCCCAGTTTCCCGGGGGGCAGGGTCACGGTGAAGGTAGGCTTGGGGAAAGGCGTCTGGATGGACTCGGCGGTGCGGAAATTGGAGACGGGGGTGGTGAAGGGGGGTGGCGTGGTGAAGGTCACGTTGATGATGATCGGCGGGCGCGTGGAGCGGGACAGGGCGGAGCGGGCCGCCAGGGGGCTGGCGTCACCGGAGGCCTCCGTATCACCTAATGGGAAAGGTCAAGTGGTCAAGTATTGCATTTAATTTTCACTTTTCATGTGTTGGATATTTATTTATATATTTTATTTTGACAGATTGCGGAAAATGAGGTTTCACGTTTCCTTTAAATTAT